TCTATGGGCCGGCTGAAGGCTGTCTCGTTTTAGACCGCCTGAAGGCAGTCTCTTTTTAGACCGGCTGAAGTCGTCTCTTCATATAGACCGGCTGAAGGCGGTCTCTTCATGTATACGGGTTGAAGGCGGCCTCTACATATATACGGGCTGAAGGCGGTCTCTATATCTAGACCGGCTGAGGGCGGTCTCAATAGACCAAGAGGGAGTCTTTCATTGACCAACTGCAACCTGTCTTGAGTTCTTAAAGATGTCTTCGAAGCCTCCATAGGCCACAAAAGTAAGATATGAGAAAATTCCCCTTGGCAAGGTGATGATGTTTTTATTTTTGCTGCAAATATTTAATTTAAAAATTATTTTCCAATGGTACCTGAACTTTTTTTCACTTGCAACTTTTTATTGCTGAATTATTTCATCGTATTTTTCTACTAAAAATACCATTTCTCCTCTTCCAATCGTATTAAATTATCTAATTCAATATCGAATCTTTGACTCGCTATATCGAATTATTTTTCCTCTTCCAACTGTTTACCTTGCCACGGTTCAGTTGGCGTCAACTTGACATTTGGCGCTTGACTGGGTTGGGTAACTCGACAACATTTTTCCACTTGACTTGATAGCTGCTGTACAAATATAGAATGGTATATTGGATGTTCTTAAGCACCCTCTCGACGATACAATGAACCATGTCAATAGAGTTGTATGTGTAGTCACATATACACCAATACATTCATACTTACATCATTGCAATAAAAAATAAAAATATAATAATTTCAAGCGAAAAAAAAAACTGCCAAAATGTCAGGCATTTGCAAATGAAGATATTTATAAAAAAATATTGAATGTCTCCAAAGCAATTGCGAACAAAATAACAAGAGGAGGGTAGTTGTCTTGAGGGGTACTATTGTCTTGATATTAAATTATTATGTAATGGATGCCATGGATGATTGTGTGAATCTGTGGCGGTTACATACATAAAGCGTTTAAAATAATTTAATATCGATTTCTTTGTAAACACTCTTGATGGGTTCCATTTTAGAAAGCTGTTGGGAAGATAAAGATTTTTTTGCTTTTTTGAAAAAGCAAATACGAGGTAGGAAATCAATAATGGATTACAAAGAATTCTAAAGGAATTTTATATAGGCCAGCTAGAAGCAGTTTTCTGTGGCAGTCTTTATAGAAGAGTTGAAGAGAACGTTTATAAACGAGATTAAGGTGGTATCTACTGACCAACTAGAGGGAGTATTTATATACCAACTAGAGACCACACTTACAGCGGTGCTGGAGGCGGTTCTCAAAGTAAAGCTGCAGGTGGTCTCCATAGAGATTTTTATAGAAGGCCTGTAAGCAATCTTTTTAGTCGAGCTGGAGCCAATCTTAGTAGTCGAGGTGAAGTCGGTCCTTATAGCCGATCTGGTGGCGTTTCGTATCGAATATTTTTTTATTAAGGTGAACCAAATCGAGAAGGTACCCTCTGCATGCGAGAGTGATGAAGCATCAGAAGACAAACCGAAAACATTTTTTGAACGAACCTTATGGGAATATACGCCAATCACAACGACTTGTCGCTTTTACTTTCATAGACTACTTTCATAGACAGATCTATATGAGAGCTGTATCCAAATTAGAGCCGATCTCAAAAAAAATTGGTAAAAGTATTTCAGAGCTGTATTTGCAAATTTCTCCAAATGTCGTTATAACGAAGTGCATACTACCGCTGTGAAGGAGAAATTTAAGAAATTGGATGAAGAGTATGGAAGCTATAGCTATATCTGAACCGATTTCCACCAAATTTGACGCACTTGTCTCTAGGCTCATTATGTGTTAAATTTCATCCTATTTGGAATAATCTTACACATTTGGTGCACTATGAAAGGCGGGCGAAGATATATATGGGATATACAGGGTGAGATAATAAATCCTGCTACAAAGTCAAACGCCATAATTATACCATCAGCCATATGGCTACAGAGGGTATATATCATTTGATACGGTCAAAACGTGCCTAGTCGAAATAATGATTTTAGACCCTAGGTTTCTTTGGACCAAATCCGTTTCAGGACATTTGGAGTCGATCTAGCAATGTCCGTCCGTCCGTCCGTCTGTCTGTCTGGCTGGCTGGTGCGCACGATAACTCTCGAAGGAAGTACTCGATTTTGTCCAAACTTTGTACATCGTAATATTTTTGTCAAATTTAGATCGAGTTCGGAGATGGGCAATATCGGTCCACTCCTTCTGGTACCTCCCCCACACATGGACGAAATTTTCCAAAAATATATTTTCTGCACAGAAAGAGAAAGGATGATCCGATTTTGTCCCATCTTTGCAAAACCTAATATTTGCAACAGCGCAAGGTCAGGTGCAAAAATGGCCAATATCGGTTTACTCCATCACGTACCTCCCCCACAAAAGGTCGAAATTTGCAAAAAATATATTTTCTGCACAGAAAGAGAAAGTATGATCCGATTTTGCTCGAACTTTGCGAATCCTAATATTTGCTTAAGTGCTAGATCAGGTGCAAAAATGGACAATATCGGTCCACTCCATCAAGTACCTCCACCACAAAGGGTCAAAATTTTGAATAATTATAACTCTTATAAAATGTGATGTAAGGATCCAAACTTCTTAAAATTTCACACATCCCAATATTTCTATAAGCCCAAGATCTGGTCTTAAGATGGAATATATCGGTCCACTCCTTCTGGTACCTCCCCCATATATTGGGTTCAAGATTTTGAAAAACAAAACGCTCAAATAAAGCGAAATAAGCATTCAACTCTCTGCAAATTTCAAACATACAAAAATGTTTGCTAACACAAGATTTGTCGTGAAGTTTATATATATCTTAGAACCCCTTCAGGCACTTCACCCACATAATGTCACAATTTTCAATAATTTTATCTGTCATAACTTTCGAAACAATTTAGCAATTCTTTACTAATTGCTATGCCCAAATATTTCTCTCAATAAGAAGCCTGATATGAATATGAAATTGATCGGAATTTATGATTTCGCATAAAATTGGATATAAATATCCTTTCTTGTAATTTTGCCCAATATAAAAATGGAATATTTCGGTAGACTATATCTGGTACATCACGCACATTTTAATAATTTCTACAATCATTACATTTTTTATATAAGGTGAAGGTGTAAGTCGATATAATCCATATCAGGAACGTCGCAATATTTATATCATATTTTTGGGTCCGACACGAAATGGACAAAATTGACCCATTCCTTTTGGAACCTGCTGCATAGAGGATCAAACCTTTGAATAATCGTAATACTAGCCAAAATATATTTAAATAATCTAACGTAGGCTGAGGGTATATATCTGTAGGCAATACCGACTGATACTTTTTAACTTGTTTTTACATTTTTTTTAATTTCATTGAATGAAAGCAAAAAAATTCGGAAATAGCATCAAATTTTAGAATATGTTTAGATTTGATCGAATCGTCAACATTAGAACGAATTATGGCCTTCAAACGGCCAACGAAACCTACTCACGCTACCGAATGTTGCTCTGTGGTATTTCTTTAATACACCCTCCAGAATATTTTCGCGATAATATTCGATTAATACGAGCGGAGAGCGACCATCGGCTGTTATGGCGGCCCATACCATCACCATGGCCGGCGCTTGAGTTCTGGTGCCCAACCGAAGGTGCACATTTTTAGCTGACCTCTTTGGCAAGTAAACACGACCATTTTGTTTGTTTACAAACTGCTGGACAACGAATGTTTTCTCATCGGAGAAAACCAAATCCGGCAGTTCAAGCAAAGCAACTCTTTATCTCTTTTGAGTGTATTTTCTTTCTGTTGCGGTGTAAATTCTTGCACTTTGTGGAATTTAATGGCTTTACACCGAGCTCATTTTTTTCATTATTTGCCGAATGGAATATTGCGATATGTTCAGCTCACGAGCCATTTTTCGGCCATTGCGACGCGGGTTTTGATCAAGTCACTTCTTTACATTTTGAACCATTTCTGCTGATGTTGCTGTTTTCTTCTCTCCACTTCCTTGACGTCGGGCTACATTACCAGTATTACGGTAAGGAGACACAAAAGATTTGTTCAAATTTAAATGCTGAAGTTCTCTAACGATAGCCACTTGTGGTTTTTCAGCTAAATATAAAAAAATCACCTAATCACCCTGGAATTCCATCACGAATAATTTTTTTTAGGAAAATTATCAAAAAATGCTTTTGTACGCTTGTAAAAATATAATGGATTGTCACTGGAATAATTTTAACAGCTGTTGGACGAGTGGCTTAAAAATGACAGCAGTCTGAGTTTAACTTGGAAATGGTTGGTTGCAGTTTTTTCATCTCACCCTGTACAATCCGTACGTAATTATTTGATTTTGGTGGTTGGGAGCTCTTGTCGTTTGGTTTTTTATTATTTATTTTCTGACATTCACATATCTTCCTGTCCTACCGACCTTGTGTCCGTCCGACCAATCTATCCATCCGTATATCTATCTGCATGTGTGTGTGTGTGTGTTTTGCGGTTGATTGTTTCGTGGTTATTTGTTGTCATTTATAACCACACACATTGTAATATTGTGTATAATGTTAATATTTTTATTTGGTTTATATTTTTTTATTTTTTTTTTTTTTTGCGTTTTCTGTTTTTTTTTTCTTCCCTTCTTGTTGTTTGTTGACTTCCTGATATCACAACAAAAACAAAGAAAACAACGCACAAAACATGTGTTAATTTTTAATGTTTATTACTTTGTTTACACAAGCATCAAAAACGAATTATAGCAAATGTCTTAGATTGTGAGGGTGTCGTCATCGAACCGTTTGGATGAGTGAGTCTGAGTGAATTCCCATTTTAAAGTCAATTTAGACAGAGAATTTGATATTTTTGAAATAATTTTGAATTTTTGATGAATCAGAGAAAAAGAAGACAAGTTCGACCGGGCCGAACTTCTAATACCCTCCACCATTTGCATAGAATTTGATGCTGATCAAGAATATATACACTTTTTGGGGAACCAAAAAATTTTATTTCGAGTTGTTACAAATGGAATTACAAAACTTAATATACCCTCCATATTATGGTAAGGGTTTTAAAAAAGATAAAAATAAATTATAAATTCTGACGAGAGCATATGGTACGGCATCATTGGGCCTTAGGAAAACAATAACGTCAAATAGCCTCCTTTTCTAACCTTGTCTTCGCTTACGGATAAATTCCCGCTTCTGCTTGTCGGTAAGGGCATCTTTCAGCTTGTCAATAAGGGCTCCTTTCAGCTTATCCAAAGTGCCATTCTTCAGCTTGTCGGGGAAGTCACCGTCCAGCTTGTCACTGAAAACTTCCTCCAGTTTCTCCTTAAATATTCCCCTCAGCACATCTTTAAAGACTCCCTCCAGATTATCAACAAAAACGTGCTCTATTTTGTCCAAAAAGATTTTCTCCAGTTCTTCTACGCCAACTCCCTCCAGCTTATTGCTGAAGACTTTCTGCAGCTCATCGGTTAAGACAGCTTCTAATTCGTCCGCAAATATAGCCTCCAAATCCTCTGTAGAAACTCGCTCCAACTCATCTACGAAGACACCCTGTAGCTGTTCAAGGCATATTCCCTCTAGCTGCTCTGTGAAAACACCGCTCACCTGATCTGTAGAGATTTTTTCCAACCCATCCGTAGAGATTTCCTCCAGCGCCTCTTTAAAAACTTTTTCCACCTCTTTTATAGAATGTACCATATTGTATAAATAAATTTATTGACATGCACTCCAAATTAATTCCTTTAATTCTGCAGAAGTTCTGCTTTCTTTGATGTGTCATATCGACCTGATTGGTTACTCTCCGAGAAATAATTTCCCAAGCATTTAAAGGCGATGTGTGAGAGAGAGTGAAATTCTCATTTCTGAGAATTCTTCAATTGGCAAAACGAAAAGCGAATATAATAGAGATATCTTATCGGCAGGGTTGCCAGGTTTTGTTTTTTTTTTTTTTTTTTTTTTTTTTTTTTTACAAGAATATTTTTACACCAAAAATCATTAATTTTGAAGTTGACCGAGTAGGATATTGGTAAAACCATTGCAGAATGGACCCACATCCAATTTTTCTGTTCAAAACTATTTCAACGTCTCCATATGTAAACCCAAGAAACCAACAGTGACCTCAAAAGCAAGTTTCAGAATTTCCGCTTTATCCCAGTAACGAATTTAGTAATATTTACTACGCATATCCAAATGATCCAAAATGAACGGAAGAAAACAGCAACATCAGCAGAAATGGTTCGAAAGGTAAAGAAGCGACTTGATCGAAACCCGCGTCGCAGTGGCCGGAAAATGGCTCGTGAGCTGAACATATCGCAATATTCCATTCGGCAAATATTGAAAAATTATCTCGGGGTAAAGCCATTGAAACTCCAAAAAGTGCAAGAACTTACACCGCAACAGAAAGAATATAGACTCAAAAGAGCTAAGAGTTGTTTCGCTTGGTGAACTGTCGAAAGTGGTGAACTGACGAATTTGGTTTTCTCCGATGAGAAAACTTTCGTTGGCCGGCAGTTAGTAAACAGACAAACTAATCGTGTTTACTTTTCCAAGGAGTCAGCTGAAAATGTGCACCTTCGGTTAACCACCAGAATTCAAGCGCCAACCCTGTTGATGGTGTGGGCCACCATAACAGTCGATGGTCGCTCTCCGCTCGTATTAATCGACCGTGGAGAATAAATGGCGAATATTATCCCGTAAATATTCCGGAGGGTGTATTGAAGCCTTGGGCACACAAACATTTTGGCCGCAGACCTTGGACATTCCAACAAGACTCAGCACGCTCCACCCAAAAATGGTTACAAAATGAGGTTCCTCTCTTCATTTCCAGCGCACAATGGCCACCAAAATCTCCGGTTACCAATCCGTTGGACTATTGTTTCTGGAGTATTTTTTTTAAAGCAAGGTTGGCACTAAAAACTACCAAAGTGTTGATCAACTCAGGCAAGCCCTTTGCCGGGAATGGGCCAAAATACTGCAGAGCAACATTTGGGCAGCGTTTGAAGGCCATAATTCGTGCCAAATGTGACCAATTCGAACAAATCTAAACTTATTCTAAATTTCCGACATTTTTTGCTTTATTGCACGTTATTCGTGCAAATTGTACCAATTGGTACCATTTTAAAAGTTTAGTAACATTTAAGAACATTTACTAAATTTAAAGTTCGAATTTCAACTAACCCTGTGGTGCATCTATCCTGCACTTCATCAATGACTCTTCTTCCAATTTTCAAAATTCCAGCCCATTACAATTCCAATATGTACCAAATTTAGTACACATAAGTACGACTGTCCCAAGCAGCCTACATACCCCAATTCTACACTCCAAGCTCCAAATTTTAGGATTCCACCCCTGTTGGTTAGCCTTAGTACAAATTGTAGTTTATTTAGTACATTTAAGTACAAATTTCCAAAACCACCTACATATCCCAATCTTGCACTCCAACAATAATCGTATTTCCAATTTTCAGGATACCAGCTCTATTGGTTCACCCAAATACAAATTTGACCAAATTTTTGTACCATTTAGTACATTTAAGTACAAATTTCCAAAACCACCTACATATCCCAATCTTGCACTCCAACAATAATCTTATTTCCAATTTTCAGGATACCAGCTCCATTGGTTCACCCAAATACAAATTTGACCAAATTTTTGTACCATTTAGTACACTTTAGTAAACATTTTCATAGCGTATAGTCCAATATAAATCGTATTTTCAAATTTCAGGATTCCAACTCTAAGGTTTATCCAAAATTTAAATTGTACCAAATTTGGTACAATTTAGTACACATAAGTGGGAATTTCCAAAACTATCCACATACACCAGTCCTACAATGTCATAGTAATCTTATTTTAATTTTCAGAATACCAACACTAACGGTTCTACCAAAATTTAAGTTGTATCATATTTGGTACCATTAAGTACACATAAGTACGAATTTCCAAAAATACTTACATTCCACAGTAAGAGTAAATTTCAGAATTCCAGCCCAAATCGAAATTGTACCAAATTTAGTACCATTCCGTACTTTTGTGCACTTAAGTACACATTTCGAATGTCCTCCTTCCCCCATATCCCAATTCTACAATCTGCCAGTAATGTTAATTTCAATTTTCAGGCGTCCAGCTCCTTCAGTTCCTCCAAATTCAAATTGTACTAAATTAAGTACTGCTTAGTACTTTTCGTAAGCTTACAAAACTACCTACTTACATCGACTCTACTCCTCAGCCTTGATTCCCACTCCAAATTCCAAGCTTTCAAATGGTACGGAATGGTACCAAAGTTTTTCTGTAGTAGTACATTTTAGTATTTTTCGTACACTTATAGTGCGTACATCTAAAAACCTTTTGGTACATCTATCACACACTCCATCAGGGATCCTCATTCTAAATCTAAGATTTCTAGCTCTACATCTTCTTCAAATACAAAGGGTGTCATATTTAGTACCTTTTAATATGTCTCGTACCGTTTTAGTACATATTTCCAAAAACCCAGCCTTATATGACCGCCGTTTCTATCTGCGAAAGATAGATAGAAAAACTGCAGAATTTCCTTCAACTGTTCTATACTTCGCCACCAAAAAAATCGCCACGTCACCAAATAGAAAATTAGGTCGCCAAACGCATAGAAAAATCGCCACATTTGTTGAGAAATCGCCATATCTGACAACCCTGTTTATCGGCAATGCGATAATGCAATGAATAAAAAAAAACGCGTAATTTCCTTCAGCTGTTCTATAATCCGCCACAAAAAATCGCCATCACGCCAAATTTCCAAAAACCTAGCCTTTTGTGACAGCCGTTTCGTCTGGGAAAGATAGATAGAAAAACGGCGTAATTTCATACAACTGTTCTATACTCCGGCAAAAAAAATCGCCATGTCGCCAAATCAAAAAATAAGTCACCAAATGCATAGAAAATTAAAAATTAATTAATCGCCAAATCTGACAACCCTGATTATTGGTACTGCGATAATGCAATGGATAGAAAAACTGTGTAATTTCCTACAACTGTTCTATAATCCGCCACAAAAAAAAATCGCCATGTCGCCAAATCAAAAGATAGAAAAATCACCACATTTAGCGAGAAATCGCCATAGTTGACAACCCTGCTTATCGGCAATGCGATAATGCAACAATAAATACTACAGCAATAACAAAAACAACACTCGACCTGATAAAGACTGAGAGCGATACGTCACTATCAGTTAATGGTTCCATTGATCAGACCAGAGAAGCGCAATCGGAACGCTTATCACATTAACACCTTTTCTTGTTTTGTTGATATGATAACACAATGATAGGCTGACGGACGGATGGACGATAAACGCACCGATGGCTGGTTGGACAAAAGTCTCAATAAGAAATCATTTAATTATCAATTCCATTGCTACGATAACTCCCCCATCCCCCCTGCCAACAAAAAGAGAGCAGTTTAAACAATAACGATAGATAGATAGCCCCAGCAGTACCTGGCGTGCCGTTAAAAACAAAAGACGGGTTAACTGAATAACGAATTTTGGAAAAAAAAAAATTAAAAATAAATTTCCAATTGACAAAAAAAAAAAACAACAAAAAAACCAACATTTAACATGGCCGAGGAGGAAGACAGTTCCAAGGTACCTGACATCTATCCTAAAGCCAAAGATGTGGAAAAGGCCAATGTGTCTTACGATGATGTGGATTTTACAAGCGGCTTTGAGACCCAATACCGGGAGGAATATCGTCCACTGAAGCCGAAAATTACCGTACCTCCCCGACAAAATCCCTCAACGCTGTGGTATCGTGATCTGAAAACCATACTCATTGTGGCCCTTTTAATGTCGATTTTCCTCTTTGGCACCATTTTCTTGACCAAATTGGTGTTCACCACAAATCCTCTGTATGTCTTTGTCATAACATTGATCTACGTGATATTGGCCATTATTGCGATTGCTATCGAGGTGAAGTCGGTGCATGTACGTTGAGCGAGTTATGAAAGCGGACAAGGCTAGAGGAGACGGGGAGAAAGCGGTAGACCCCAGAAATTTTACTATATATGTGAAGGTCATGAAAAAGTGATAAGAATTACAAACATTGGTCATTAGAATAATGAAATCAATTACCTGAAGAATTTTTTTTATTGAGAAAATTTTTAAGAATTTAATATTGAATAATTGAAAATAAATAACAAAAATGTAAGCAAATTTAAGTCATTAGAGGTGTGTTAAAGTTTATTTTAATATCTGAGCAACTGGGTTTCTCCGCCATGAATCATTTAGAAAAAAAATACGTTGTACTAAACCTCTTTCCGGTTAATAATAAATAAAATTAATAGCAATAATTTATTGTGAAATTTATTTAAGAAGAGGAAAATAACGAAAACTCAATATTTAAGGAGTTATGGCCATTTTAAAATTTGCATTAATTCATGCCTAAAAAAGTGATCACAAATAATAGCTAAAAACACCGAAAACTCAATATTTAAGGAGTCATGGCCATTTTAAAATATGCATTAACTCATGCCTAAAAAAGTGATCACAAATAATAGATAAAAACGCCGCAAACTCAATATTTAGGGAGTTATGGCCATTTTAAAGTATGCATTAATCCATGCCTAAAAAAGTGATCACAAATAATAGCTAAAAACGTCGAACACTCAATATTTAAGGAATTATGGCCTTTTTAAAATTTGCAATTATTCATGCCTAAAAAAGTGATCACAAATAATAGATAAAAACGCCGCAAACTCAATATTTAAGGAGTTATGGCCATTTTAAAATATGCATTAATTCATGCCTAAAAAAGTGATCACAAATAATAGCTAAAAACGCCGCAAACTCAATATTTAAGGAGTTATGGTCATTTTAAAATATCCATTAATTCATGCCTAAAAAAGTGATCACAAATAATACCTAAAAACGCCGAAAACTCAATATTTAAGGAGTTATGGCCATTTTAAAATATGCAGTAATTCATGCCTAAAAAAGTGGTCACAAATAATAGCTAAAAACGCCGAAAACTCAATATTTAAGGAGTTATGGCCATTTTAAAATATGCATTAATTCATGCCTAAAAAAGTGATCACAAATAATAGCTAAAAACGCTGAAAACTCAATATTTAAGGAGTTATGGCCATTATAAAATTTGCATTAATTCATGCCTAAAAAAGCTGATTACAAATAGAAGCTAAAAACGCCGAAAACTCAATATTTAAGGAGTTATGGCCATTTTAAAATTTTCAATTATTCATGCCTAAAAAGTGATCACAAATAATAGCTAAACTCAACATTTAAGGAGTTATGGCCATTTTAAAATATGCATTATTTCGCACGCATTTATCGATTATAGAAGTTCTCTGCTAAATATGTGTGCCCCTTGTGGTCAGACTGGATTTTATGCGATTTTAAATTTAAAATAAAACACATTCTCAGTACTTGGATCTCTTTAGTATTATAAAAAGCATGACTATCAAGAACAATATAAACAAATTGTACAGAACACACATCACGACACCCGTTCGAATCCAATTAGTTTGTAACTTCAAATTTATTCCATTATTTTGGGGAAGTTGAAGACGCATAGATTCGGTCACATTCGAACTTTCCATGGTAATAGCTGGGATTGATTCGCATTTGATATACGCCACGTCATCGATTAGAACTTCACATGAACAACTTTTGAAGACATAAAACTAATGTATATTAAAACACCCACTTTCAAACATATGTCATATTTTTTTTACCGAGTATCCATATTTTTTGTCAATTCCACGAAAGCCCAACTTTTTTGCAAACAAAATCTTTTCTCGCATGCGCTGAACAGCAATTTGTAGTCCCAAGTGCTTCTGAAGATTTTAATGAACTGGATTAATGTGAAGTCTGCTTGTCAAAAGTTTGCTGTAATTTTTGCTTTGCTTTCGATATATTGTTTTCAATATTATAAACAATTAACTTCACGTGAAGACACAACATTGTATTCAAATCGTTGGTGTAGATGAATAGCATCAGAGACGACTGTTGGTGGGAGTGCTTGGAAACTCTAACAAATGAGTCTGTGTTTTTAAGTCAATAAACGAATTTATGATTGATTTTAGAAAAAGGCATGGTATCGGGAAGCAACCTTTTTTTTTTTTTTTTTTTTTTTTTTTTTTTTTTTTTTGAGAGAGAATTCTCTACTTAAATGTTGAGTCTATATTAAAGTGGTGTACTGAAATGTACCAAATGTAGTGCAGAATAGATAAACCAAATTTAAGAATTCCAGGTTTCTGATGGAAAAAAGTTCTTTAAAAAATCCAGATTTCTGATGGTGCGTACAGAAATATTCTTTGAAAATGCCAATTTTCTGATGGTGCTTGAAAAAAGTTCTTTAAAAAATCCAGGTTTCTGGTGGTCCTTGCAAAAATATTCTTACAAAAAAAAATAGGTTTCTGATAGTGATTAAAAATATTCTTTAAAAAATCTAGGTTTCCGTTGGTCCTTGAAAAAATATTCTTTACAAAATCCAGGTGTCTGTTGGTCCTTGCAAAACTATTCTTTAAAAATTCCTGGACTCTGATGATCCTTAAAAAAATATTCTTTAAAAATATTCTTTAAATCCAAGTTGCTGTTGGTCCTTAAAAAATATTATTTAAAAAATCAAGGTTTCCTTGAAAAAATATTCTTTAAAAAATCAAGGTTTCTTGTGGTCTTTGCCAAAATATTCTCTAAACATTTAAGGCTTCTGGAGATCTTTGCAAAAATATTCTTTAAAAACTCCAGGCTTCTGATGGTGCTTTTTTTTTTTTTTTTTTTTTTTAAATTCAAGGTTTCTGATGGTCTTAACACAAATATTTTTCAAAAATGCCATGCCCGATGGTCCTTGAAAAAATATTTTTTTAAAATTCAAGGTTTCTGATGGTCTTTGCAAAAATATATATTTTCTTGAAAAAATATTCTTTAAAAATTCCAGGTTTCTAATGGTCCTTGAAAAAATAGTCTTCAAAAAATTTTTCAAAAATTCCATGCTTTGTAAAAATTTTTCAAAAATTCCATGCTTCTGATGGTCCTTGATGGACCTTGAAAAATATTCTTTAAAAATTCCAGGTTTCTGATGGTCCTTGAAAAAATATTCATTAAAAATTCCAGGTTTCTGATGGTCCTTGAAAAAATATTCTTTAAGAATTTAAGGCTTCTGGAGATCTTTGCAAAAATATTCTTTAAAAATTCCAGGCTTCTGATGGTCCTTGAAAAAATATTCATTAAAAATTCCAGGTTTCTGATGGTCCTTGAAAAAATATTCTTTAAAAATTTAAGGCTTCTGGAGATCTTTGCAAAAATATTCTTTAAAAATTCCAGGCTTCTGATGGTCCTTGAAAAAATATTCTTTAAAAATTCAAGGTTTCTGATGGTCTTTGTAAAAATATTTTTCAAAAATGTCATGCTACTGATGGTCCTTGAAAAATATTCTTTAAAAATTCCAGGTTTCTGAAAAAATATTCTTTAAGAAAATCCACGTTTCTGATGGTCCTTGAAAAACTTGTCTTTAAAAAATCCACGTTTCTGTGGGACTTTTTCAAAAATATTCTTTAAAAATCCACGTTTCTGTTAATCCTTGAAAAAATATTCTTTAAAAAATCCACGTATCTGTTGGTCCTTGAAAAAATATTCTTTAAAAATCCACGTTTCTGTTAATCCTTGAAAAAATATTCTTTAAAAAATCCACGTATCTGTTGGTCCTTGAAAAAATATTCTTTAGAAAATCCACGTATCTGTTGGTCTTTAAAAAATATTCTTTAAAAATCCACGTTTCGGTTAATCCTTGAAAAATATTCTTTAAAAAATTCACGTTTTTGATGGTCCTTGAAAAACTTGTCTTTAAAAAATCCACGTATCTGTTGGTCCTTGAAAAAATATTCTTTAGAAAATCCACGTATCTGTTGGTATTTAAAAAATATTCTTTAAAAATCCACGTTTCTGTTAATCCTTGAAAAAATATTCTTTAAAAAATCCACGTTTTTGATGGTCCTTGAAAAACTTGTCTTTAAAAAATCCACGTTACTGTTAATCCTTGAAAAAATATTCTTTAAAAAATCCACGTATCTGTTGGTCCTTGAAAAATATTCTTTAGAAAATCCACGTATCTGTTGGTCTTTAAAAAATATTCTTTAAAAATCCACGTTTCTGTTAATCCTTGAAAAAATATTCTTTAAAAAATCCACGTTTTTGATGGTCCTTGAAAAACTTGTCTTTAAAAAATCCACGTTTCTGTTAATCCTTGAAAAAATATTCTTTAAAAAATCCACGTATCTGTTGGTCCTTAAAAAATATTCTTTAAAAATTCACGTTTCTGTTAATCCTTGAAAAAATATTCTTTAAAAAATCCACGTATCTGTTGGTCCTTAAAAATATTCTTTAAAAATTCACGTTTCTGTTAATCCGTGAGAAAATATTCTTTAAAAAATCCACGTATCTGTTGGTCCTTAAAAAATATTCTTTAAAAATTCACGTTTCTGTTAATCCTTGAAAAAATATTCTTTAAAAAATCCACGTATCTGTTGGTCCTTAAAAAATATTCTTTAAAAATTCACGTTTCTGTTAATCCGTGAGAAAATATTCTTTAAAAAATCCACGTATCTGTTGGTCCTTAAAAAATATTCTTTAAAAATTCACGTTTCTGTTAATCCTTGAAAAAATATTCTTTAAAAAATCCACGTATCTGTTGGCCCTTAAAAAATATTCTTTAAAAATTCACGTTTCTGTTAATCCTTGAAAAAACATTCTTTAAACAATCCACGTTTCAGTTGGTCCTTGAACAAATATTTTTTTAAAAAACTCAGGTTTCTGGTGGTCCTTGCAAAATTATTCATTGAAAAATCCACGGGTCTACATTTAAGTGGTGTACTGTAATGTACTAAAAATTGAATACCTTGAAATTTGGAATGAGATTCACGGATGTAGTGCAGAATAAATGTACCAAAGGGTTTTTGGAAAGCCTAAAGTTCTAAATGGTACCATTTAGAATTATCTGAACGGATAGAGCTAAAAACTTGAAATTTGGTATGAGAATCAAGGTTGAAAACTAAGTTTGACATATGAAAGTGATTTTGGAAATGCCTACTAAGTGGCTTTAGGTGGTTTTGGAAATGTGAACTATAATCGTACGAAACGTACTGAATGATACTATATTTGGTATTAGGTTCAGGGATATAGACACAATTCTGAAATTTGATAT